TATTTTTATAGGATTACAATACAATACAATACAATACAATACAATACAATACAATACAATACAATACAATACAATACAATACAATTTGTATTCTTGATCATCTGAATGGCACAAGATTAGGAAATCTATATAGTCTTCTATACAGGCCCTAGTTGCTAGTGTCTAGGCCATCAATGTAAGACTTCAGATTCTAAGAAAGCGGTGCCCAGTTATCCCTATGTGCTCATGCAGGTCTTGGATCACCTTGATCAAAACCTATAGAATCCACTTAAAAAAATGGAGCTAGATATATGTTCCAGCTTGACAGGGTGAGTGAATAGCCTCCAACAAGCAGATTCACAAAAAACTCAGTTGTTGGTATAGCAGGAGTGTATAGGTAGTCTCTCCTGTAAATATTAGTGTTTTCATATTATAGCAATAGTATTGATTCTGGTTTATTTTAATGAGGCCTTTCAGTAGAGATAGAACTGATGGGAGGAAGAATAAAGAAATGCATTTTACCAATTAAGAACTGTATTTCTGTAGTTAGGTAGCTCTTTCCAGAGATCCCTACAAATTACAATGGCTATTTCAGGATATTTTTTCAGTGTCTTTCCTTCAATGAAACACTTAGCAGCACTAGTACAGTGAGATCCAGAAGTTCGAAAATACGTATAGTTTATGAACAATGTTTTGAGGATAAGGGGGAAGAGTCATGTCGGACTGTGGCAACAAAATAGACAAAAAGTTTGGTAGCACCTTCAGGACTAACCAACTTTATTGGAGCATAAACTTTCATGAGCATCAGCTGGTGAATCTGATGCATCTGATGAAATGAGTTGCTTTCCACAAAAGCTTGCATTTCAGTAAAGCTGGTTAGTCTTGAAGGCGCTACCAGTCTTAGGGCATATATTGGGTCCTTTGTTATGAGATATGAATTCTTTTGTTTTGCTATGTTTATAGGCAGTTTTATTTGTTTTGTTTATATTCTAAATAGATACAGGTAGTCCTTGTTTAGCAACTGCCTCGGATAGTGAGTGTTCGCAAATAGTTGGTAACAAATGGTAAGAAAAAGTTCATTTTCTGACCAATGCATGCATATAGGACAACAAAAGCCTTCAGTGTGAAACTAATTAAGGTCTGGTCAGTTTCAGGCAGCAGCTGCCAGGAGGAGGGTTATAATCAACTAATTAAGGTCACAGAGCTGAGTTTGTTAACTTGCCCTTAGCACTTTTTAGGGAAGCCAGGCAAAAATAGCTCAGGAAGAGTTAGCTTGTTTAAGCAATCTCTCCACCCTGTGAGGAAGCAAAAAAAGGAAAAAAAACGGGTCAGGCACTGGACACTGTATGAGAGAACTTTATCTGAATGAGATGGCAGCAACCAGCGATCTTCACAGCATCTCTCTCTGTCATGTGGTTTACTTAGTGACTGTGTCACTTAGTGACCATTTTGCTGGAACCAACTGCAGTCACTAAATGAGACTACCTGTAATGTTCTATGTGAATAGTTCACTGAAAGGTTATGTTTCCTCATTTTATAAATTGAATTTATGAAACATTACTTCAAGACAATTTTTACTGTCTCATGCTTTATTCCTCTTCCACATGCCTGTAGACATGGCTCACCTTCCTATGCCTGCCTGCCTGCCTGCCTGCCTGCCTATCTATCTGCCTATCTATCTATCTATCTATCTATCTATCTATCTATCTATCTATC